AGGTCTGTTTAAGAGGGCTATTATGCAGAGCGGGTCCGTTATGTATAACAAAGATCGTCCGGCGCTCAGCACTGTTGAGGGCCTTCAAAGGGCCAAACAATTGGCCCGTCGTTTGAATTGCGATGAATATGACTACAAATGGTTGGACTGTTTGCGTGCAATCGACGACCCGAATTTGTTTATTGAGAAACCAGATTTTGGTGTATTTTTAATGACACACGCTGTGTTTGGCACAGAGTTTTTACCAGTGTTACCACAAAAAGCATTTTCAACAGGGTTATTTAATAGTGGTAATAATTTTTATTTATTGCCTAATGTTGTAGAGTTATTACTATAAGTACTTTTGTATATTTTATTAGATGTGGAACTAATGACCGGTGCGACGAAAGACGAGGGGCTATCTCTAGCTATGATGTTATACCCAGAAATGTCAACCGATATGACTGAACACCAGTTGCGAGAACTTGTGATCAGATTGAGTGACGAATACCGCAATATAAATGTAGACAAAGTGTGCGATCATTATCTCAAAGGTGTTGACAAAACAAATTCATTGCAACTAAAGGCAGCGTTTAGTGCATTATATGGCGATTTAGTGATGACTTGTCCCACATATTTGTTTGCAAAAAATGTGGCCAAAAGTGGACAAAATGTGTATTTTTATCGTTTTAATTTTCAAAGTCAATATTTTGCCAAAATGTTTGGCGATACCGGAGACGCCGTATGTCACGGCGCGGACATACCTTTCGTTTACGGACTTCCCTTAAGATATCCGCAACAGTTTAGCGAAACTGAATATGACTTTAGTATTGATGTAATGAAAATATGGACTGATTTTGCTAAAAATGGGTACAATTAATTAATTTTTGTTTACTACAGAGATTGATCTTATACATTTAGATACAACATGCAAACATTTATATTCATTTTATATTTATTTTTATGTTTTAATTATTTATTATTTATATGATTTATAGTAAAGCACATGACGTTTGGCCACAACTTTGGGACAAATCTGTGATTCGAGTGAAAGACTTGAATCCCA